CCTCATGTCGTCAACCTGTCGCACTGATGAGCTCGGGGGTTGGCTAGACAATGATGATTCGTCTGCGATACCGAGCGAAACGGATCATCTGTGTTGTGGAGTGTATTCCTTTCCCAATGTTTGGCTTTCTTTGCTTCTAATACTTAGGGAATTATATATAGTGGGATCTTTTTGACGGATCCCCCAGTGAAATTTGTCTCTTGTGCTTACCGCGCTCTACACACATATTACATGGAATCCAACGGCAATACTTTTCATTTGACGCCTAGAGGTGGTATGAAGCGAAGCGCCTCCTTTTTCTATTGCTGAGGAGTGTCAATCACATCAGGTAATGCCTTAGTTTGACGCTCTGAAATCTTCATTTCCAATCCTTCTTTTCACCATACCTTTTCGAAGTTGTAACGTCACTTTTACCTGTTTTTTTTATTTTTTTCTAGTCTTTGATTGCGTGTTCTTTCTGCACCCAGTTTCTTGATCTTCGGAGGGCGCACTATATGGTGGTTATCAGGAATTACACCTTTGTTTTGTTAGATGCCTCTCTGCTACTGATGTTTCTCTTATATCAACTCAATACTTTTGTTATCATTCGACTTTTCACCGCCTTCGTGTAAACCACTTTTCTGGATGAAGTTTTCTCCCTTTTTAGCTCGCTTATTGTTTTTCCACTCACTGCGAGGCTGCGTTGATACTATGCGACTAAAGAACAGGAAAGTCGGCAATTCGACCCCTCATTCATACTTCGCGTCTACGTTTTGAGCATTTTAAGCACGCGGCAGTGTTTTCGACGTTTTCGTGAATAGCTTTAATTTTCGCGGGCAGTCGCTTAAAACGCTAGTGTACGGTTGAAAACGCTGACGCAAAGTATTATATACGCAGCGGGACTGGAAGGTGTACAAGAGTCGCGGTGTTTTTACGATTCCAGACAATTTTGACTAAAACTAGACCTTGAAGAATTTCATGCGCACTCCTATCGCTCATGATAGCATTATTGACATTACTACTACATTTGTTTTGTTCATGCAATAGTTGCATGATGTGTTTCCCAATGCTAGTTTTTAAATACCATTTTTGAGTATGGGGTTCCTTTGCGGTGACAGTGTACTTTCTTCAGGTTTACGCTGCTCATGGCAGCAGATCCAGAGAGCCGACCACTTTATTTTGCAAATGGAGATTTCGCGAAAACAGTTGCCGACATAATCGCCAGTCCTCGGAGGTGAGAATTCTCGTCAGCCTCTTTTATGACCAACGAGACATTCTGGTGTGTGTTCAAACATTTTTATTGGGTTGACCTAATAAGACCTAAGCGAGCATGACATAGACTCCTACAGAGCCACTAGTTGTTGCAGGTTTGCTACCCGCCCCAATCCTTTTTCCTTGACTTGGGCGACATTCAATAGATTCTTTGCAGTAGAACGTAAATCACCGAGACGTGTAGGATTAACCTAGTAGGACCCAGTTCTGCGCCTGCGTCGCGAATGTCTAAAGAACGTATCCTTACAGCGAGCATAAGCTGCAACATACTGACCTGGACACCTAGCGCCTTCACTCACCCGCAAACGCCCGACCAAAGCTGGTGCTCATATCGCTTCATTGCGTAGTACAATATGAAGCGAAGAGGTCTATATGAAGCGGCTGCAGTGGTGGATTTGAGTACACGCATGCAGCCGTATCTACTGCAGCGGTTATTGGCACGATGCCAACGGGAAACTTCCGAAATTGCTTTTTGAATCGTGTGGGGCAACGGCTTCCGCATGTTTGACCATTTCATTCCGCTTTTTCGCCGTTTCCCACGATGTAGCACCTCCGCTGCAGTTATCGATCGAGTACTAAATTATCGTGCCACATGTTGGGGCGCAAACTCCGGGTGTGTGACCAACTTGTTCAGAAGTGCTTTGGAAATGAAATTTGTAACATTTCATAGTTCTGCAGACCTTAGCACTGCGAAGCATAATTATAGTTCCACAATGAATCTCACATAATCTCGTCTTACATGACGTTTACAAAAGCCCCCAAATAGAAATGTAATTGCCACTACCAGTTTGCACGCCAACACCAACACCTGCTTGAGAGAATAAATTTTTTTTCTTCGTTTTCTTTTTTGGAAATGGTCACTCTGACAGTGGAACAAAACGGTAGTTCCACTAAACAAATCGATTAATCCAACAACAAGTGTGCAACAAATGGATAAGTTGTCAACCCAATGATCTATTAGAGCCACATTTCTCCGAATAAGTTAAAAGACACGGTTGTTCTTGCTTGAGTAGATATTGTTAATAAGATTTCGGTCACCATGGTGCCATGCTTCAGTGATCACCTGCTGAAGCTCACGGACATTTTGGAATCGCACATTGTTCACATAAAACTTACGCTTCATGAAGCCCAACACATTACGCTTCATGAAGCCCAACACATTCTCGATTGGGTTTGAGTCAAGGCTATTCGCTGGCCAGGGCAAAAGAGTGGTTTGGTGACGACTGAACCACGCTCGAGTGCTTCGGCTGACATGAATTGGTGCATTATCTTGCATGAAAACGGGACTTTCTTGCTGATTTCTACGCCAGAAAGGAAGGAGACGTCGTCGCATGACGTCCTGATTAACGGGAAAAAAACTTTTCTTTCATGCGGAGCTTAGTTTCAGACGGTCCATTGATGCGATGGCAGCCCAGACCATGAGACCACATCCACTGAAGTTCCGCCCGGAAAAATGAAACTTGTCTTCCCTTAGGTCGTGTCGGTCGGTTTCCGTGTGAATCGGTTTCCGTGTGAGCGGTCGCATTTCTCATCAGAGACCGCAACCGAGAGAAAAAAAAAACTGAAAAGAAAACAAGACAGACAAGCAGTAGGACACCGCAGCTAAACGTCAACCTTAATCCAATCGTTTCGGTAACATCTTTTAGCTGAGGCAGTTGGGTTTCCACGAAGGTTTGCTGTCAGAAACGGAGAGAACGATGAGACTTTTGAAGGCACGGTATCCTTCGAGACATTAAGCTTCAAAGATGACTTGATTTCCCGTCACGACATTGTGAAGTTGGATGCTTCTCTCACGATACGGTTGCTCATCCCGATCGGACAGCAAAGAAGACCGTCAAGGCCATCTTCTTAACTGCATGTCCTATAGGTTCCTTGACAATATTGTGGATAACATGATGACTACGGTCCAAAGCCCGCGTTGACGGTTCGACAGTCCTCGAGTCTTCTTTGTGATAATCTGCCTTTTTTCGAAGTCCTATAATGGATGTTCCACTTGCCACAGCCTAGAAAAGGCAAGAAGTCATAATGATGAGAAGTTTCACCGAACAAAAATGAGATGCAGCGGGAAAATATGCGGTGGAACTATCATTTTGCTCCATTGTCAGAGTGACCATTTTCAAAAAAATGAAGAAAAAAAAAACTTAACCTTCAAATTAGTTTTTGGTGTTGGCATGCGAATTGGTATTGGTAATTACCACATTTTCTGTATGGGGGCATTTTTGAAAACGTCGTGTAAGACGGGATTTTGTGAGATTCATGGGTGGAAGCTATCATTATGTTTCGCAGTGCCCGCGCCGCAATTACCCCGCTCGTTCCTATCTTCCTTTGAGTTCCTACCCTTACCGTTCCCATGAAAAGCAAATGCTTGAATTTGTACCGTTCCCTACACCCTGCCGGTTTCGGATCATTGAAATTGAAGGGAATATCCTGCTATATATAATCCGCTAAGTGTGTGTGTGTGTGTGTGTGTGTCGTGCGTTTGTGTGTCACGAAATTCATAGCGCCCGTCCCAGTAGCAGTGAGAACATTGCTTCCATGAAGTATAGCAAGGGGTGCGACGAGAACATTATTGGTGGGTGACAAGATGTGATATCTGCTGCTGAGATGTGATAACAGGCATTAAATGGGAAGGTCACTGAATCTATTGCGCGGGTCACAGCACTTGTGGGGCTTTAGTTCAAAGATATAATATACGAGGTGGGACAGTAGCATAATTGGTGGGTCACAGGTGGTTATATCAGCTGATAAATCTGATAAGAAGCGTCAGAAGGGGAAGGTCACCGAATCCATAACGCGGGTCGCCGCAGTAGTGGTAAGTTATTCCCTAGGTATAATATAGGGTGTGGTGCAGGAGCATTATTGGTGACAGTGAGGATTTCGGCCGATAAGATTACTAGCGGAATTAGAATGGAAAGGTTACCGTGTTCATAACGCGGCACACACCATCAGCTAGGCGTTTTTTTCAGCAAGTGATATAGAGGAGGTGGGGACGTCGACGGTAGGTGATAAAACGTGATAACATCTGATATGGGATGGTGGAATATTGCGTTTTTGTTCAATCGTGGTGGTACAGACTTTACACTCTATGCACTATGCGCATAATGATGTCGAGCGGCGGGGGTCTGTAGCTCGCCTGAAACAGGAAACTCCTGGAAAGTCAGGAACCAAAAGCCGGATTAAGGTGGCCGACTTTACGTTCCGTATTATTTTTCAAAATTTTAATTACTGATCAGAACTACTTACGAATGTGTGTGAGAGAATGCACAACTAAAATAGCCCAAAATTTGCGTGTCAATTATTTCCACGACCTCAGGGAAAGGATTGCATGGTAAGGAAAAAAGGTAAGCATCATTGGTAGGCGTTCCGATGGAGGTGACGCTAACGGAATTTGTTCATCTACAGCGATTCATATTGCGCTGTATTGGCAGACTGCGCTTTCTACCTACATCTACAGCTCTATGCATATTTGCGCGTTATAGTGCGAGCCACCACCTCTACTGCAAATATGACTGCGAATTTGAATACAGGAGTGCAGAACACTAACTGCTCTATCTATTACTATTTGGTCACCACCAATATGAGCAGCACAACTAACTGAATAACTAAGTGATGAACTAACTTCATGTCCAATATGAACTTGGTGACAGCTGGCCAGCCCGGCCGAGCTTGGCTGGAGGTTTATATAAAGGTGAAATAGGATGAAATCATTCAAAGGACCCTTGATGACTTCTAACTGTTCCTCCTAACGTATGAAAATGGCTACTTACAGGGGTAAAGCTTATGCAGGCCAAGATGCATTGTACAAGATTTCGGATCGTCAGCGGGATTACTACAAAAAATGCTTTCGGCATTTGACGAAAAGTACTCAAGTGTGTGGTTGCTTGTTTACCTTTAGCACAGAGCTTATATTGACGAAGGTTTGACTTTCCAGGGAACTGCCAGCCTTGAAGGTGTCTTGAATGGTGGAGATTCTCGCGTTGTGAATTTCTTAAAACGTAGCGGTCTTGACAATGATTCTCTGTCCAGGTTGTTTTTTTTTTCAAATTGAAGCGAACAAGGGTATAGGTATCGCTATTGTTGCACAGGATCTGGAGCCTTTCCGATGTCAACGAAGATGGTTATCTAGATATCAACGAGTTTTCAACCGCGATGCACCTGATTGTCTTGAGAGTGAAAGTACTAATTTTGGGTTATACAGGGGGGGGCAAAAAAAAGTCATTCCGGCCGAGTCACATATGAGCGAAGTTTTCGCAGCCCAGACAGAGGAAGTGGATATGAGTACCAGGGCGGAAGATACCCAAGATCTTCCTCTATAAGCAGGAGCCGGCTGCCGCCATTCACCTTCATGTACACCAAAATATGAAGTCATCTCCAGTCGCGGCCTGAGTGGAGAACGCCTTTGGAATTCACGTGGCCTCCAAACAGCTGCGGAACTTCTTGAATGGAATCACCCATGGATAGCTACCTGGAGACCAGTACTCTTGATCTGCAAGACCTCAAACATCGAGCAGCTCCGGCAACGTCGCTACGGTCCAGGACATCATCTTCACCCCATTCACCAAGGCGCGGGTTGATGGTGTGGACCGGCCGTACCTGGAATGGATGACCGATATTTTCTTTGTAGACCCCGACTGAAGGTGAGCGCTGGCGGTTACATCAAGTAACTCGAGAAGGATATCCTCCCTACATGTGGTCGCCCGTACCTTCTTGGAGACCTTGTGCTGCTACAGGTTTGGGTGCCACCACATAAATCGAAGGGTTTTGGAAAAACTCTCCCGCCTACTTCGAATGGAAGGGCGTTTCGTACCTGATGAAGATGTAATATTGAAATATGTCCCCTGACCTGAACCCACTCAATTACCTAGTTCGGGCGGAGCTCAACAGGGTGGTCTACAGTGGCGGAGAAATCAACGATCTCGCTCAACTCCGGTACCCACTCACTTTCGCGCGGCCGAATCTCTCGATGGCGCTCCTCCAGAAGGCTGTGGCGGAGTATCATTATAGTATTTAATGTGCTCTTTAATATGGTAGTAAAAATGTCCGATAAAAATTTAATAAAGTGTAACTTATAGCGCCTTGAAAGTCATGGAGGCAAAATGACTTTTTTTTTGCCCCCCCCCCCTGTACACACAAGCTCGGAACACTCAATTTGTGTTTGCAGGGACAGGTACCTATTCCCACCTGCTTGCCAGCGTGTATTCGTCCCCCATACGTTCCTCCGCATATTTGCCATCAAGTGCAAAGTAGCCCCGCTGCATCAGCTTCCATTTTACAAGGTGAGTAACAAGGTCTGGAAATTTAAAGCCAAAAAAACTTAGTGAAAGGCACAACCACATATCTATTACACATCCTTTTCCCACGGTTTCCGTTTATTTTAACCATTTTAATGTGTTTTATAGTTCATTTTATATCATACTCTCACATATTTTGTATTTTATTAGGTTGTCCCAAAAGTTCGTACCGTTTACTTTTTTAGAGTTAAGTTTATTCCAGTGAGAAACAATTTCGAACAACAATATATATATGTTACATTCATCGGCAACCTTTTGCCAACCACCAGGCAAAGAGTGGTTGCCTCGCTTCCAGAAGTTTTTTGGATCCGTGTCGAGTAAGAGCGCGTTCAGACTTCGCGATCGCGCGACTAGGATCGCGCGATCGGATCTGGCGACTGGGATCGCGCGATTGGGATGGGTGAAAATGAAACAGAACGGTAACTTCAGTAGGCGAACAAACAATTTTCGATCAAATAAGGATCTGTTTAGTTACAGAGACGGCACGACTGTATCGGAATGGGAACAGAATGCCTAGAGTCGTTCAGGTTTCACCTACAACTTTATTCTTGAAGCTGTGGATAGGGCTGACTATGGATCTCGTGCTCGTACTATTTTGTTCAAAAAACGATTTATGCTTGTCATCATTCCTCGTATCGCACGAAACCAAAGGAAGCACAGACAGTGGTAAACACTGACAAGGAGGCTATACTGTCATCAGAACCATATATAAGGAAGTGGATAATAATCACGGAATGAATGCGTGACCTGTGAAGGAGAAAACATGCACAACTATTTTGTTCTACCAATCTAATCAGTTTTCGGGGAAGTCTCGTGACATTTTCATCTGGAAAATGCTTCAACAAAATGCCTCAGTAATGTCTAAAGACTCCACTGCAATGTCATGAGAAATACTGACCCAAGCGCGGACTATTTTGGAGTGCCAGTGGAACCCGATTAAACAAGTGCATTCATAAAAAGAAAAATGGGCACTATTGAACTATTCCCCAGTCTGCCGAAATGAAGCCGGTTGCGAAATTCCGAATCTGAAAAAAAGATCGAAAGGCAACTTCAAACGTTTCTAAAAACTCAAGGCGTTATGCACAGAAAGGAAAGGAAGAAGGAAAAGAAAAGAAAGAACAGAAGTATTAAACATGAATAAACATGAACGCCGCCCCGCTGAATTTACCCATCCCAATAGCGCGATTGCGATTGCATCCTAGTCGCGCTATTGGGATGGGTAAATTCCTAGAGTCTGAAGGCGTTCTAAGGCAGCTGGGTCATTTTTGAGGTACTTTTGAATATCGTATTTTTTTACCCAGAAGATGGCCGCCTGGAAAACAGCTTAGATGGCGATCGGAAAGAGCTAAGTCAGGGCTACACGAAGATCTGGTGGAATTCCCCAGCTAAGCTCTAGGATCTCGAGCAGTGTCGTTTTCCGAAATGTGTGACCCTGAGCTGTGGTGGAGTAGGCAAACATTGCTCGGTTGTGGGACCAAGTGGAATTTTCATCCCTCCTTTTGCAGTTGATTACAATAGGGTTCGCTGGTTACCACAGTGCTGAGAAAAGTTGCCTTTAAGAAAGAGAGAAAGAAACCCCACCACATACACAGTCTCACCGCCCTTACTGGATTGATAGGATTGCGCGATCGGTTCTGCCCTTTTCTGGAGGATCTAGCCACTGGCGCTTTCGGGAGTGACTCACCTAGAGACACGTCCTCCATAACCAGTTGCAACGTTGTTCATCCAGCCCTGGCGGAAGGGGAAGAGAAGTTGTAGACAGTACCGACAAGAGCTTCCCTTGGAGTACTGGTCAACTTATGAGAAAAATTTTGCCCGAAAACTTTTTATGGGTTCGAGGCCCTCATTTGTGCTTTGGGACCAGTCAAGTGTAAGGACTGGATAGCAAGTTGATTTGTACGAATTGGTTTTAATCAAGGAACACAGTAGGTCCAAATCCAAGGCAGGTGGCCTTGGACGAAGTTTTTCTCCCAGGTAGAAGTCACTCAAGCAAAAGCGATCGGACCATTCTAAAGCCTTACTATGGAGGTTACCATTAGGACCCAACTCAGAGGAATGCCGCTTGTGCCTTCCAGCCACGTTGAGGCTTAGTGAAGGCTCGTATAGCGAAGTGTGTCGGAAATGGTGACTTCAATCATCGTTTTGGATCCAAGAACAGCGACTACGAC